CACACACACACACACACACACACACACACACACACACACCTTTCTCCTTTGCGCCTCGGGGGGGGTTCCTGTGAGGCGGCACTTAGAATTTTCTCAGTGCTTCCGTATAAATGTAAATGGTCTTACCAAAGGGTGACATTTGCGCAGGTAAAACCGATTATATTTAGGTTTCAGAAAATACAGGAAACTACAAAGTTGTGAGAACTTCTTCGAAGGGAGCGTGAATGCCAGTAGCAGAGGAAATCCCACGAGCGAGCGCGGACCTTGGGTGTGAGGAAAGGCGCGTTTTCCAGTGGCCTCAGGATTCTCTTTCTAACATGTCCTGGAAATGCACAAATTATAAAGCAGACGAACAAAGGTAGGGGATTGCCGCCTGGCGTCCATGTTCACAGAAGCTCAAAATAAAAGTAGTGAGAATGGGTTAGATCCTCTCATTGGAAAAATACCGCTTCTGGTCTCCGGCCCCAGACAGAGGGCTGGGGATACGAGGGCGAAGGACTCCGTCCCTGCCTGCAGGGGTTTCTGTCCCCTGGAGAGAGAAACACAGAGGAGCCACTGCCGAAAAGAAACAGAACTTCTAGAAAAAAGTCTCCTGGAGTGGGTTGCAAAAGCCTTGGCTTTTCCTAGAAGAAGACTGAGTACCCAGCAGTGCACAGCGCTTCTGACGTCCCAGCAGCGCTCGGGCCCTGGACTGGATCCGGACCGGGAGTGAAGTGACCGCAACACGTTAGGCCTGGGAGGACAAGGCGTCTTCAGGAGACGCACGTGCGGGAGTTCCAGTGAGACGGGATTAAGACAGTGATACACCCCCCCAATCCAGACCAACCCCACAGGCACAGGGCGGGGGGAGGGTGGGCAGGGCTTGCGGAAGGTGCGCCCGTTATGAGAACATCAACTATATAAAAATATACAAAAACCTGAACTTGAAACAGTGATAGAGACTTACTCATAATACACAAAGGAGTTTTATTGTAGTAAAACACAAAATTTACTTTGTAACCATTTGTAAGTGTGCAGCTCATGGCGTTAAGCACGGTGACATTGTTTTACCATCTCCAGGTCTTTGTCATCAGCCCAAACGAAGCTCTGAACCCATTCGACACGGAGGTTTGGTTTTAACAAAATAATTATTTTGTTTTTTCTTTCAAGAAAGAGCTTATAACAAATTTAAAGTAAGATCACAATTTAAAAAATTCTGTAGTTTTAGGGGGTGTTTATAGATATCCAGAGCTGTGTGTTGCAGCCAGTAGACTCTAGGAACAAAGCACGTGGCCACAGTTGCACGTCGCCTGCGTAGAGCGGAGACACCGTGCTGTTGAGACGTGTCACAGGTGGAAGGTGAGAGGCGAAGCTACCGAAGAGCATGGCTAGCTTTGGCCCTTAAATACGACGTGATGGAGAAGGAAAGGCTTCCATTTAGGTGGTTGGCCCTTTATGGCGTGGTTTCCGCACGCTGTCCTTCTTTGAAACGATGACCTTCCTGGTAGAGCTGCCCAAACACAGTGCGTTTTCCTCACGCACCTTCTGCCTGCCCCGCGGGAGAGAAACTCCACACCGAGGCTGCTCGGCCACCTCTCTGGTCCAGAGACCTCACCTCCTGGACTCTTGTGTTCCAGAGCCTCACCTGCAGTGGGCTTTCAGGGTGAAGACTAGGATGAGGTTACTGCGGAGAGAAGTTTAAAAACGGATACGTTGCCCGGCCAGCGTGGCTCAGGAGATGGCGGTTCGATTCCCGGTCAGGGCCCATGCCCGGGTTGCGGGCTCGATCCCCAGTGGGGGGCGTGCAGGAGGCAGCCGATCAATGACTCTCATCATTGATGTTTCTCTCTCTCTCTCTCCCTCTCCTTTCCTCTCTCTGAAATCAATGAAGATATATTTTTAAAAACCCCAAAACCAAAACTGATATGTTTAGTCTCAGCCGAGGGGTGAGACTAAGGGTAACAGTTACACGCTTCTCTCAAGAGTTTGGGTGAAGGCAACATGTTCTCAGTATTCAGTTGTGGGAGAAAAAACCAGCTTCAGTTTGAGACTCAGTCTGGGCATAAGGACGGTTTTGGAGGGCGAAGGGAGACACCAGACAGCCGCAGATTCTGAAGAGGAGACCTGGGGTCCCGGCCGTTAGTGTTACCTGATTCCAACATGCACGTGTTAGGGGCAGGGGTCCCGCTGTCTCAGAGGTAGTCTCTGTCCATGTCACAAAGAACCGAGGCCAGCTGACGTCCTTGGCCCTCAGTCCTTGACTCCACGCCCCTCTCCCAACAGGCCGACCTGAAGAACCAGCTGGGAGATGCCGGCTACATCGTGTTCGGAGTCGTGCTGTTCGTGTGGGAGCTCCTGCCCACCACCTTAGTCGTTTACTTCTTCCGAGTTAGAAATCCTGCCAAGGACCTTGTAAGTAAGCCGCTTTCTATTTGCAGAAAGTATCGCCTGATTCTACTCACAAACATACCCTTAGAATTGTTTCTTAGATTTTCAATAGAAAGCCGCCTCCATCCTGTTGTGATATGAAAAGTTCCCTTATTTAATTTAGCCTTTTTTACCCTCGATTCTCTTTTGAGGGAAATGTTTTTCAGTGTGGCTTTATGTACTTTACAAGAGAAACAGAAGTAAGTTGCATCTCAGGCCCGGAGAGAGTGATCGACTGTTTCCCCTAATGCAGCAGCAGGCTCACTGGTATCTGAGCCTTGGCCTGCTGTGAACAAATCTGTCAGAAAACGAAGATAAATGGGAACTTCGGGTTTTTGTCCGTCTTATGCTGTAGGGGCGATAGGGAATTAAAAACGTTGTGAAGCCACTGCCCCAATCTGGCCTCCGACCAGATTTCTGCTCAACCGACTTGGTGTAAACGTCTTTCTGAGGACAGAACAGAAAATGCAAACCGGGCGGAGAGGAAGCTGGGAGCTTTGCTCCATAAATTACTCCAACCACACTCACTGGGGGTAGAATTTTGAATCACTGGTGTATGAAACGCATGGGAAAGTATAAAGAATGGTTTTTGTCCAATGGTTTTTGTGAGCAAAATGCAGGTGGAAGGAAAGGAAAGCTGCAGTAACGAATTCGTTATGTCTTTTTCTTAATTCATCTCTGGATGGTCACTAGCGAGCCAGGAACAGGAGAAACACGAGGCCGGAGCGGGGCAGGTGGTGAGCCAACCTGACGGGTGGGCCCTTCTTTGGATGTTTGGTGACATTCACCGATGAGGCCCTTGGTCCAGGGCAATGTTTCCTCGACCTCAGGATCCGTTTCTGCCCTTTCATCGTTGTCATCGGACCTTAATGTGCGTTGGGAGCACCTGGAGGCTTCTGTAAAGTCAGACCCTAAACACATCCTCATTTTTTTTTTAAAGAGCTTTGAGATATAATTTTTATACCATACAGTTCACCTATTACATGTGTACAGTCCAGTGGTTTTTGGGGGCTATTCGGATATTTTTATCAGCTCACAGAGAAACCCTGTACCTCTCATCACTCCCATCCCGTCCCCAGCTCAGCCCACCCTCAGCGTGCTCTCTCTAGGTTTCCCATTCTCTGCTTCCACGCGAGTGGGATGGCATCGTGTGCGGTTTCCTGTGACTTCTTCCACTTAGCATGTGTTCAGGGCTCCTTCACGTCGTAGGCGCATGGGACTCGGTCCTCACTGCGCGCACCGCGTCTCGGTCACCCGTCCTGCTTCCTCTGCTGCTGGGCACTGGGCCGTTTCCGTCCTCGGCTGCTGTGAACGCTGCTGCTCTGAAGTCACTGCAGGTTTCTGTGAACGTGTCTACATTCCTCCTGGGGATGTATCTCGGGTTCAGCTGCTGGGTGACGTGCTAACTCTGTGTTTAACTTTTGAAAAATTGCCAGGCTTTCCTCCGCAGAGGGTGCAGCAGTGTGTGCGGTTCTGGTTCCTCCCCAGCCCCCAGCACTTGTGCTCTGATCCTTGACGCTAGGTTTCCTGGCGTTAGTGCTGCCTCGCTGTGGCTTTTGACTTGCCTTTTCCCCGTCACGTGCTCATTGGCTTTCCTGGAGAAATGCCTTGTCAGATCCTTTGCCCATTTAAAAAAAAAAAAA